TTTTTTTAATCCTTCATGGTTTCTACAAAATTTTACCAGTCGATTCAATGAAACTTGCAATTAATGAACATAAGCCTGGATTCAGGTTTCTAAATCAAGTAAATGTTTCCTATTAACTCAAATCAAGGATATTACTAGGAAAAGCTATTGAATATATCTGCTTTTAATAAAACTGTTGGGGGCCTAACCAAACAACTCATTCTCAGCAAAAAGACTTTTCACTTTTACTTTGTGTCAAAATACATAACATTAATTCTTCAGCAACTAGCATTCCACTGCAGAAAACACTTAAATGTACAGGTTTCTCAACCTAAATCAAAGACTGACTATTGCACAACTTGAAAATAATTTATAGCAGAGATCCCTCTTATGATTACTTTCCAGGGTTTGAAATGATTAATTATTCAGGTGAACGCAAAGCATTACTGCATAGATTAAAAATAAACTGCACATTTTAAGGTATTTTTAAATGATATAATTTAACAGATTAAGGATGAAATTCTGTTACTGTGATGTATCACTTTTTTGATTTGCGTATGTTGAACTGACCTGCCATCTCTGGGATGAATGTCACTTGATGATGGCGAGTGATCTTTTTAATATGGTCTTGAATTTGGTTTCCTAGTGTTTTGCTGAGAATTTCTGAACCCGTTAATCAAGGAGATTTACTATTCTTTTTAATTTTTATTTTTAGCGAGTTCTTGTTTGCTTTGGGTATTAGGGTAATGCTGGTCTTACAGAATGAGGTGGAAGTAGTCCACCTCAATTATTTTATTTTATCTTATTTTATTTTATTATTTTATTTTTTGAGACAGTCTCATTCTGTTGCCCTGGAATGCCATGGCATCAACCTAGCTCACAGCAACCTCAAACTCCTGGACGCAAGCCATCCTCCTGCCTCAGTCTCCTGAGTAGCTGGGACTACAGATGCACACCACGACACCCAGCTAATCTTTCTATTTTTTGTAGAGACAGGGGTCTCACTGTTGCTCAGGCTGGTCTGGAACTCCGGAGCTTAAGTGATCCTCCTGCCTCAGCCTCCCAGAGTGCCAGGGCACCTGAGCCACTGTCCCCAACCAGTCCACCTTAATTATTTAGAATCATTTGAAAAAAAATTGTTATTTGTTTTTCTTTAAATGTTTGGTAGATTTCAACAGTGATGACATCAGGCCATGGATTTTACTGTAAAAGGAGACTTTTTATCACTGATTCAATCTCGTTATTCATTATTAGTCTGTGCAGATTTTCAATTTCTTCAGCATTCAATTTCGGTAGGTTGTATATATCCAGGAATTTATCTTTCGTTCATTCATAATAGTTATCATGACGCTTTTTAGTTCTGTAGTATCAGTGGTAATATGTATTTTTTTCATCTTCGATTTTATTTATTTTGGGCTTCTCTCTTTTTTTTATTAGTCTAGCTACAGGTTTGTAAATTTTGTTCATCTTTTAAAAAATCCCACTTTCATTTTGTTGCTTTGTTGTATTTTTTTAGTCTCTATTTCACTTCTGCTCTGATCTTTATTTTTTCTTTTCTTCTACTAACTGTGTTTAGAGTGTTCCTGTTGTTCTAGTTCCTTGAGGTATATAATGTTAGGTTGTTTTTTGAGATCTTTTTTTTCTTTTTTTGAAATAAGTGTCTATTGCTATAAATTTTCCTCTTAGAACTATTTTTACTATATCTGACAGGTTTTGTATCCTGTATTTCTATTTTCATTGTCTCAAGACATTTTTAAATTTTCCTTTCAGTTTCTTCATTGATCTATTAGTTCTTCAGGAGCATGTTATGTTAATGTATTTGTAAAAACTCTGTATTTGTCAAAAACCCTGTTATTGACTTCTAGTTTTATACCCTGTGGTCAGAAACCATACTTGATATTATTTCAGTCATCTTAAATTTGTTAAGACTTGATTTGTAGCATAACATATGATCTCTCTTGGACAATGTTACACGTGCATTTGAGAAGAATGTGTATTTTGCAGCTGTTGGGTGGACTATTTTGTAAATGTCTGTTAGTTCCACTTGACCTAGAGTGTACTTTAAATTCAATGATCCTTTCTGGAATTTCTGTCTGGATAAGCTGTCAACTGATGAATTTGAAGTGTTGAAATTCCTAGTATTGTTGTAATACAGTCTATCTCTCCTTTTATGTCTATTAATATTTGTTCCATATAGCTAGGCACACCAATGTTGGGTGTATATATATTTACAATTACTACATCCTCTTACTGAATTGACCCCTTTATCATATAATGAACTTCTTTATGTGTTTTTACAATTTTTTACTTAAAGTCTATTTTAAACCTAGGTTTCTGCTCTATAAAATAATTTTGATGATGCGACAAATAATACTTCTGTGATCCAATTTTATGATTAATTGAGATGATGCTTATAAAATGTTCCTTCCAGTACCTACCATACCACAGAGGCCAATAAATTGTACCATATATGTGCCATATTTAATTTTAGTTTTTAATAGATTGTTTTAGATAAAGGTTACTTCTTTTGTTTAAATATATGCTATGAATAAATTCAGTGACTCCTACTTCACTGTCATCTTTAGTAATTGGATAAATTGGTATTCTTAAATGAAAGGAGGGTGGTATAGACTGAACATTTGTGTTCCTCCCAAAATTTATATGTTGAAGCCTAAATCCCCAATGTGATGGTATTTGGAAATATGGCCTTTGGGAGATAATGAAAACATGAGGGTAGAGCCCTTATAAATGGGATTGATGCCTTTATAACAGCCAGCAGAAAAATGATCAAATTATCTCTCCTCTCTCTCTTTTTCTTTCTCTCTGTTTTTCTCTTCCCCCTGCCTTGTTAAAATACAACAAGACGTTTGCAAACCGGAAAGTAAGTCCTCACCAGATACCAGATCTGCTGGTGAATTGACCTAAGACTTTTAAAACTCTAGAACTGTGAGAAATACATGTTTGTTGTTTAAATTACCTAGTCTGTGATATTCTGTTGTAGCCGACCAAACTGATTAATACCGTTTTCCATTTTATTTGAATTTTACATCCAACCTGAAAACTACAATAGTTGAACATATTTGTTCACTTGAGTTTCCTAAGTAATTTTATCTTATTTATTTATTTTTGGTTACATCTTTATGATTTTATTTTATTATTATTATTTCTTTATTTCAGAATATTATGTGGGTACAAACATTTTGGTTACTAGTAACGACTTTGCCTCACCCGAGCCAGGCCAGAGGTGTGCCCTTCCGCCATACAGTGTGCACTGCATCTATTAGTTGTGATTTTACTCACCCCCACTCACCCACCTGCCCGACACCCAATGACTATTACTACCATGTGAATACATTGATGTTGATCAGTTAGTACTTGGAATTGCACTAATGATACAGGTTAAATTTTTCAAAGTTGAGGTTTAAAATAGCTGTGATTGAGAAGTGACAGTAATTTGAGAGATGATTACTAACTATATTGTACAATTAAATCTTGAATAGCTTAAAAATACCAAGGCATAAAATATATAGTCATCTTGCCTTATGGATCATTTGAGGAATATTCATTAAGTTATGTATAGATGATATCCCAGATTTAAACATCGATTAGCTAAATTAATACAATTGAGAATAATAAGGGATATGAATAAGGATTTACAGAATTAGTAGCTATTACTAATAACTGTGAGAATCCTAAATACATTATTTTTGCGGTGCTAGAAAACTCAAACTTACAACCTAAACACTTGGGAAAACTGTCTTTGAACTGATGAACTCCAAGGATTCCCTGATATCTCCCTAAGTGCTATTTGTGATCCAGTGCTTCAGCTGAAGTTACACAAAAGTCACCAGGGGGTCAGGTGTGGTTGCTTATGCCTGCAATCCTAGTACTTTGGGAGATCCAAGTGGGAGGATCACTTGAGGCCAGAAGTTGGAAACAAGCTTGAGCAACATAGCAAGAGCCCATATCCACAAAAAGTTTAAAAAATTATCTGGGTGTGGTGGTGCATGCCTGTAGTTCCAGCTACTCATGAGGCTGAAGCAGGAGGATCACTTGAGCCAAGGAGTTAGAGGCTGCAGTGAGCTATGATCACACCACTGCACGCCAGTCTGGGCGAAACAGCAAGACCCTGTCTTAAGAAAAAAAAAAAAAAAGCAGCTGGATAACTTGTCAAAGTGTAAGTGATATATCAGTTGCCCTGGGCCCAAAAATTCTGCATTTCCAGTAAGACTGATAGAGGATCCTGCTTTTGAATATTTCCAGACCACATTTAAGTAAAGTAATTAAGATTTAATAAATGTTGAGAGGGAGAACAACATGGGCTCTGGGTATTTGATTTTGATCATACTTTAAGTCTCTAGATAATAGTAAAGGACAATTATTACACCCTTGCCATCAGGTGGCACACAGTGTAATCTGATTCTCATGTTTTGTTTCTAATAGTCAATCAAATCGATTGTGGTTGGATATTGTGACATTATGCCATTATTCACTTATTTATTTATGTATACATTTATTTATTTGTGAGCTTGTTGTCTTTATTTTACAAGGTGGAGTTAAATAAATTTTCAAAAGTCTCCAAAGAAGCAAGAAAAAATAGAGTTGGTTTTCAAATTTAAGTCTGTCCGATTGTAGGTTTGTTATGCTTAGCTTTTACTGTACTGAAATATATAAGCCAGATCTTTGATAAGGGTATAAACATAGGTTAGCCTCTGGATTTCTACAACTTGTCTATTAGCTATAATATAGGGATTTGAAACTGTGGTCATATAACTGGGCCCTTACCTTATGGTCTGAAGAGTCAGCGTTTTTCGATCATCTCTGTGGTGCACATTGTTGCCCACAGCTTGTGGCCAGGGGAGGGTTGCTCACTAGTTAGCACGTTCATGCTCTCCTGCTCTCAACCTTTGAGTGTATGCTTTTCAAGAGACAGTTGTAAAAATTACAAACACGTATACTCTGGTCGTTCAAACATTACATTCATTGATGAAATTCAAGTGCAAAAGGTAAAAAGAGTTGGTGTCGTATTTTCCTCCTAAGAAAATCAAGTGGAAAGTCTTAGAAAGATTAATGAAGGCAAACTTCTAAAAATGTTTTAAATAACAGCTAAATGTCAGAGACTAGGCCTAAACATCCAATATCAAGAATATGCACTTAGATTGTTTTCTAAGCATCTTAAATTTCTCACTTTACTCAAGAGAAAGCAAAAACATATTTTAATATATGTATAAAGATGTGTTTTTCAAAGATAATGCGAAACATCATGCTTAATGAAAATCACTTGGTCCTGCATCAAAGTGTTGGTGAAAAGATGTGATGTTAACACGTTCTAAAATTTATTTTAAAAGTGTTCATTAAAATCTCATTTTTATAATTAGATTTAATTTATTTTTCTGATTAATAATCAAATGTTTACTTTAATCACATTAGGTAAGTGGCTGTTTGATGTATTAATATTTTACCACCCTTGCAGATATTTATTGGTTTAGCAATTTAGCTAAAATTCCACGTTTTCCTAATTTTTGGCTGTATACTCTGAATGAGGCAGCACATGTTTAAGTGTTTGTATAATTTAAATTGTTTGGGTACAAGTGACAGAAAATCCTACTTGAAGGCAAATGAATTTGTTTTGTATGTTTGTTTAACTTTATCACCTTTCCCCAAATTGTTCATAGTGGATTAAAGTTAGGATGAATTGGGTCTGATTCAATAGATAGGTACCTTTGTAGGGGTGGTGATTTGGGTCAAGAGTCTCTCTCTCTCTCAATAAAATTTTTGTCTTTTCATCAGCATTCTGCTTGTAAAAATGGTGCCTGTAGTGAACCATAAAAATAATCAACACTATTCTTAATAGGACTAGAAGGAAATATAGCCATTTGTGATATTTACTATTTGAAAATTGTACATGGAATTCAAGTAAATGACAGTAGGAAGACTTACCAGAAGTGTTAATATGATGAGTGACCTATGCTATAATAACATTCATTAATCAATGACCTAATCATTACATTTTCACTGTATAAAATCATACTCTAAACAAAGGACATATCCTAATGATAAAAAATCCAAAATAATACATCTTTTTAATAAACTTTAAGCTATTTTTCTCTAAAAATTTAAATCAAAATTAAACTGTTTCATTTTGTTCCAGAATATACTACATGTATTTTAAAAGCCACCATACACTATTTTCTGGCTCTGGTTATATAATTTCATGTTGAAGGTAATAGAACATCTCATATATATGCATACACATGTCATTATAAAAAGGCCGAGGGAGCTTGTTTGCCCCTTCCACCATGTGAGGACACGTAGGGCACTGGTTAGAAGGAAGGGACCCTCACAAGATACCAAACCTGCTGGCACCTTTACTTTGGTCTTCCCAGCTTCCAGAAGGATCAGCAGTAAATTTCCATTGCTTATCAATTATCTGGTCTAAGGTATTTTCTTATAGCAGCTCAAAAGGACTAAGAAAATGGTTCTAAAACCAAAGGCTTTTTCACTTGATGGAATACCATCATAATTTTATTGAAACATAACATTGTAATTTAACAATGGATTTGAATATTCTGAAATAAAAATGAGCATGTTTATGTTCTATGTCAAAATTCTGCTTCTAAACTAGTGAATGATTTTGAAAGTTATTCAAAGGGAGTATTAGCATGTGATTGGCTTGTTCTCTTATAATTAGCACAGAATTTTTTTCCCACAAAAACTAAAAAGAGCTAAAAAATTTGGAATTTCCCTTATAAATGTGTGCTTTTATAAATTAAGAGTTATAACATAGTAGGTGTTTCCCATTGTTCTCTTCCATAACACTGTGATTTTGTACTATGAAGTTTTTATTATATATTACTACTTGCCTGCTTTCTTAAAATTACAATTTTGCTTTCCTACTAGACTATGACCAACATGCCCATTTTATTCACTGGTACACAGCTGACAACCAGCACACTGCATGGCATATTTTAGCATGTTCAGTAAGTCGTTGTTAAATGAGTGATAGCTTAGATATGTAATGACTCTTTTCTTCTCTTCATTCCACCCACACCTTCCTTCTTCCTATGGTTCTCTCTTTACATCTTTTTCTAGTCTACCTCTCTTGAACAATCACCTTCTCTCTGTCCTTTTTTCTGTTCCCAAACTGTCTTGCTACTTTTCTCCTTCAGAATCTCTTTCTTTCCCCCTCTGTGCGTTTCTTTCTTAAACTCACATTCTCCTGCTCTATCCCCTTTTAAAGTCATGTTATATAATAAACATTTTTTATAGATTGCATGATTAAATGTTTCTCCTTATTAATTATGTAAAAATAAGATAATTACAACATGTTTAATAATTTTCCTCTTAAAAATAAGAAATATGATTCTTTCTAGAGTTTGTGCTATATTTTTATTTTTTGTGGACTGTGTGTGTGTGTGTGTCTGGAAGCCTCGATTTTAAAGAATGCTGACCTATGGAAGTGTAGAGTAAAAATATAATTCAAAAGGACATAAATCTTACTCAATTAACCAAAGACAAAACAAATTTTAAATTTTTCAGTTAAAATCATATTCTAAATTATCTGTATTATGAAGATCAGACTTTGTTCTATATTATTTTTGTAATTGATTGTTAGAAAAGTATTACTAAGTTTAACTTAAATTTAGAAACTGTTTTTCTTTATTCCTTCTTTTTTTAGAATTTTAAAATATTAAAAGGCAACAAATATTTCTGGTTACATGAATCACTTTTGTAATGCTGAGTCACAGCTATAACTGTGCCCATCACTCAAACAGTGTTCATTGTACCTGTTAGGCATGTTTTTGCCCATCTTCTCCTCCACACTCCCTCCTGCTTGATTTCCACTGAGTTTTACTTCCCTCCGTGCAAGTGTCTGCTCATCAGTTAGTTCCAATATAATAACTAGTACATGTGGTGTTCCTTTTTAAATTCTTTAGATAGTTCACTTAGGACAATAGTCTCCATTTTCATCCAAATTGTTGCAAAACATATTAATTCATCCTTTTATACAGCTTAGTAGTACTCAATGGTATACCACATTTTGTTAATCTATTCATGAATCAATGGGCATTTAGGTTGATTCCTCCTCTTTGCAATTGTGAATTGTGCTGCAATAAACATTCAAGTGCAAGGGTCTTTTTGATATAATGACTTCTTTTCCTTTTGGTAGGTTCCTACTAGTGGGATTGTTGGATCAAATGGTAGGTCACTTTTACCTCAGTCAGCTTTTTGTGTCTTTTCTTTCTTTTTGTTTTTCATGTTTTTACCTTTCTACTCCCACAGACATACATTGAGGGTGAGATTTTTGAATGTTCATAATTGTTAGTGGATGGATGGGGGACAAAAGCAGAAACAGAACATTGTGAAGATTAGTTATAAGGACTTTCATAAAGTGCTGAAAGTATATTTCTGAATGTGTTACTAAAGGAAATGAAAAGTCATATTAAAACATAAGTTGAGTCTTTGCTGTGATTAGCTTCTCAAGGAGAAGAGATGTCACACCTCTATCTATTTTAGTCAGCCCTAGTTTTAACACAAGTAAGATATCCATTCTCCAGAAATAGTAACATTTGGTGTTTTTCCTCTAGTTAAAGAGCTATTTTCAAAATAATATTTTATAATTAATTTTAATGGGGTAGTAGTGTGTGTGTGTGTGTGTGGGTGCGCGCACACACGCGTGCACAGGGATAGGCACATGTGTTTATATACATCCATGAATTTCATGAGAAAGAACAAATTTCATTGTAGTTATGTTTACCATTTGTAAATTTCTTCAAATTAAATTATATCTTTCACAAAGGGATATTCAAAGCACCAATTCATGTACATTTTCACAAAAGTAAAAACAAGTTATTAAACAGAAAACCTATGATCCTGCCTTTCTGATTTTTTTTTTTTTGGTAAAAATGTTTATTCTTAAAGAATGCATGTTGTTTTATTCACAGGTGTCTATGATTCAACAAACCTTTATAAAACATCTTATTTAATGTCCACTTTTTGCTGTTTTAACAGCAATATCTCTAATCCACAGAGGAAAAAATCATTCCTGCTTAAAATGCTTCACTGTACATGGTGTTTATTTACAATATACTTCCAGCCATCATTACTTTATATAAAAGGGGAAAGTGTTATCTCCATTTATATAAAGTAGCAGTTACAAATATACCCTGAAATCTAATCTAGCAAAGGTTAATTCTCACTCATTCAAATTCCAAAGCTAGTTTGCACCTCTCCAGGGTAATTTTATCCTTGCTGTAACTCAGGAATCTAGGCTACCTCTATTTTACAGTAGCTTCATCTCAATTTGTAGCTGCTATGCCTGAAGTGGCAGTGAAAAAAATAATGTGGGGAACTTCCTCTAGTTTCTAACTGCCTCTCACAAAAAGTGATGCATTTTACTTCCTTTTATAGCCAGTACACCAGAGTTAGTCATGTGTTTCCAATCTTCCCTCCTGGGAAGCTTGGAAGCCTTCCCAAAATTCAGGAAGGAGAGAAGAGCTCGATATACTGAACACTGTGGTTGCTACCACAGTGTGTATTAGCTGTGTGGTCATGAATACTTCCATCAACCTCATCATATTTTCTCACCTTAAAATTTGGGATAATAAGGTTGATCTCAGAAAGTTACTGTGAAGAATAAACTTATGGATAACTTATGGTCATCATATAACACATAGTATAGAGAATGGAAAATGTTAGTTCTTTTTCAAAAAAGACTCATAATTTTCTTCTCTTGATCATGAGTTATTTCCCTTGACTATATGATTAGTTGCATTTACTAGAAATTTTCAAGTTTTGCTCTCACTCTGTGTTGTGTTCCCAAATCTTTCATAATAAAAAGGAAAGCTCATTCAGGGAAAACAAGAAAGGTAATATAAAATGTAATGTGTTTTTGGAATATCTATTGATACAAAGCATTTTTAACTATCTGGTCACGATACACTCACCGGGTAAATGAACTATAGATGAGTCAAAACTCTCTTTCCCCTCTTAGAGCCCTGGCTGGGTAACATAATTAAATTGATGTAAGATAGACTAATGGGAGAAAAGCACACAAATTTAATATAAGATTTACATGCCACAGGAGGCCAGATAATGAAATGAAAACCCAAAGATTTGGCAAAAGCGACATGCTTTTGTATTAGGTTGAATAGAAGCAATTGTGGAAAAGTGACTAAATTATGTAGAAGGACTAAAGGAAGATACAAATTAGTTTAACAAGGTCTACTTTTATAGATTCTCTCAGCTATGACTCCCTGTCAGAGAATTTTCCCTTTCTTCTGATACAAAGAAGAAATGGTACTTTTTATCTCCGGTTTTCAAGAAGGGAAGATTAGAATGTCCTTCATGCATCTGCTGTTTTTCTAAGTCGCCTTTACATCATAGTAATTCTTATGTCAAAGTGGCATCTTTGAGGGTGGCATATTCTGCCACATTTCAGAATTAATGTACAAATATATATATAATTACAATGTATATTATAATGTATATTATAATGTACAAATATATATATAATGTACAAATATATATATAATTTTAACATACAAAAGTTCTGTCCATTATATATATCATAGAATATTTTTTTAAATTTAATTTAGTATTAAGAAATTCTATAAGCTTGGAACATTAATTAAAATAAAATGATGAAGTGATATCAGGAGTAGTGTAGATAAATATTAGGGAGAAATAAATTGAATTAAACATGTATAATGAATACTAACATAAATATTAGAATGAAAATCTGTTTTCAGCCAAAGGGCAAGTTACAGCTGTTACCAGGAATATTTAAGAATATATTCTTACTTTATGGGCTCTGTGGGATGTCCTTGTTCTTTATATTAGACTACTGGCTTTTGCTCTTTTGACAAAAAAAATATTGTGTGCACTTTTAACTGTCTAAAAGTTGTTTCAAAATAGTATTTAGTATAACAGTGTTGCCTATTAATGTTCCTCATTGAACTGACAGTTAATCAGGTTGCATTTCTTTTTGGTTTTGGTTTTAAGTATGGACATGCTAGAAAGAAAAGGCACATTAAAGTGTCATTTTAATTTGTGAGACCAAGTTCTCCTAACCAATGTTATGCCTGACTTAGACACAGTGGAAACTGGAAGAATTTTAGTCCAATATGTTGAGGATATTGCAAAACTTTCTGCAGCATTTGGTTTGAATGCAGAATCTAATTTGATGCAGGGTGTGTGTGTGTGTGTGTGTGTGTGTGTGTGTGTGTGTGTGTGTAATTTCCTCTAAAATAGAAAAAAGTGAAGAAGATACACTGGATTCTTCAGATTTTCATTTCCCAATTTTCCTATTTTCACCCCAACCCAACTGCCCCCCTCTATGTAGTATGCACACTGGTTTTCTTCTGTAGTTTTGTTATCTATTGTTCCTGTTTCATTATAGCATTTTCTTACCTAATTTATGTTACTTGGACAGATAGAACTGGTCTCAGTCTTAGTTTGGACATATATTAAATACATTGCAAGTTCCAAAATTATCTATTGTTCTCAAATAATTTTAACCACTTTCATGAAGGATTAACACTTATATTGAGGTTAAGGCAAGAGAGAGTAACCAAAGTCCAATGCAGGAAAATTGCCTTTTAGCTATAATATTACATCTTTAGGGGTCCAAAGTTTCTTGTAAGCACTGTGTGTCTCCAACAGATAGAAATCTTCTTTGACAAATGTCAGCATGTTTCTAGATCTCTAACACAGATTTCACAATGTTTCTGTCCAAACAAGATTTGTATCCATTTTGAAAAAGAATGTTCTTTGCTGAAGCAATATAGTTCCCAACCTAGAGTTGGAAATCTGTATTTTATAACATCTATTAAATATAATTTTAACAAAATGGATTTCTCTTTTTAGAACTGAAAGCTTAATTCCTCCTTATCTGAGTTACACACAAAAGTTAGCTTCCTACATGACAGTTGGGCTAATTTGTTTGTGGGTGTATGCATTTGTTTCCTTGAATCTTTCAAGTCACTTTAGATAAGTAATTAGGCAATATTTTTTCTTCTGAATCACTGAGTATATTTTTAAAAAGTCTTTAACAAGATTTACTGACATTCCATGGTCTTTTCCCAACCTATTAGTGTTAGTATCATCTTCATGCTACTCCTAGATAACATTAGGAAACATTTTTGTTTAACTCACAATTAAAATTAAAGATGAAGTGATGTGCAGCTTGAAGTAGTTTCCAGATTTTTTTTCTTTTTACATATGTAAGATTTTAAGATAAAATATTTTTTTAATTAAGATAAAATATATCTATGAATAGTGAACCAAGGGAAAACTCAACAATTGAATAATAAGGTGAACATTTTTTTAATAATAGGCATTGACAATGTCCGGTGGAAGATTTTTAGCTCGGTATTTGTGCTATGGTTAGAATGTTTGATCCCTCATAAACTGTTATTGAAACTTCCCCCATGTGAATGTATTGAGACTCTTACCTCTTTAAGAGGTAATTGAGTCAGGAAGATGGTTTAATGGATTACCATGGGACTGGTATTGGTTTCTTTATAAGCAAAGGAAGAGACCTGAGAGGATGGCACACTCATCCCCCCTTGCCATGTAATGCCCTGTGCCACCTCAGGACTCTGCAGAGTCCCCACCAGCAAGAAGGCCCACACCAGATGTAGGCCCTTGACCTTGGTCTTCCCAACTTCCAGAATTATAAGAAATTTCTTTTATAGCTACATGTATAATATGTATAAATTACCCAGTCTCAGGTATTCAGTTCAAGGATCAGAAAATGGACTAAGACATTAAGTTTCAAATTTATGTAGTATAAGCTTCCAGAAGAGAAATTACTCATTAGCTTTTAATCAAGACAATCCTGCACCTTTTCTCTGCTTCCAGAAACTGTAAGATACTTTATTTAAATGATGAATAAGGTTATAAAGAAAAAGCATAGTCTCTTCATAGTCAGATAATGCCAAATTTTAAAAAAAGCATTAGCCTGTATGCCCAGTCAATGTGGGGAGGAACATAATCCTGTCAAATTTTAGTACCATTTAATTTTAATACTCTTTTTAGAGTGGGAAATTCAGGTAATGCAGTTGAGAAAGAATGCAAAATTTAAACCCACTAGCACAAGGAATACATAGACATAAGAAATGCTGGTCAATTCTCATGGTACCTATATTTTGTACAGAAATTTAAAATTGTTAAATAGAAACTTAAGAGCTTAGAGTTTGGATATCAGACTGAGCCCAACTGTTTACTGCCTCCCCTTCTTTCTCATTGAATGTAAGAAATTCTGCAGTCCTGCAGAAATTGTATATGGCATATATTAGACTATACTGTGCTCTACATCCTTCTTCCCTTTGTTCTCTGTTAGGTCTTCATTACTTCTTGCCTCTACTGGAGGTCTCTCCCTCTAATTTCTTGACTCGATCCATTTGTCAAGGCCACCAGAGTGACCTCTTTAAAAAATTACCTTTTACCATGCATTTTCTGTGCTTTAAGTTTTTTTCTGGATCCCTACCTTCCAGAATCCATAGTCTAAATATATCACAGTGCAAATATCCATACTATAGAACCTTCCATATTATCCATATCAGAAGATTATCCCATTTTTGGTCATTTGTTCCTTCATACTCCATACTTCAACAATCTCAAATGGCTTGCTACTTCCCGGATATATCCAGAAAACATACTGCTTCTCTTCTTCATGTCTTGTTAATGTTGCCCCCACTGTACTCTGGCATTCTACCTTCCCCATTTGTTAGGTTTTTTCACTTGGCTCTTCCTTTAATATTCAGTTCCAGTTCAGTTACATTTCAGTCAGCTCTTAGTGATTTGTGCTTCTCCAAATCAGGTTAACTTACTTATGCCTTCTAAATACTTCCATAATGTCCTGTGCATTTATTATTGCTTACTGCAATTCGCATTTGCCTTAAAATTGTGTTCCTGTGATTTCCTTTACAGCTAGGTTGATGGTTCCTTGAGGTCAGAATCTCTACCTTAATTGTCTCATTTTTAATTATTACATTCTGTTGTCAATGGAATTAACTAAAACAAACCCTTAATAAGCTGGACCCTAACCTCTTTCACATGAAAAGAGATGCACTTAAACTTTCAGCATCACTGTTCATTTAAATGGACACTTTTTATCATAGGAAAGTATATTCTCAAAATGTAATTTCCTAAATATTAGAAACATAAGCTGGTGTATTTAATGCAGATGAAATTAATTATCAAAAAGTTTTTCTGCTCCTAGCATAGGCTTCTGTCCTAAGAAAGCTGTTTATTTGAGCTGTTGCCTCCAAGTGTCAGGATGCAGGAAGTCACTTAAAACCAGGGTATCCCAGTTGTAACTTCCATGGAAGCAGAAATTAAGCCTCAACAACTTCATACCTGTTTCACATCTAGCACAATCCCCATCAGAGACAACAACTGAGGCAAATTACTATCCTAAGAGACAAGTAGAAATAACAGCAGCTATTGTAAGTCATTTCCTATACTACTGCGAATTTTTTTGGTGACATGTATTTTATATCAAAAGAACCATACTTCCTTGGAGAACTGTGTGATTTCTTGTCTGAAATTGTCTTATTTTGTTTGAGCTGCTATAATGAAAATGCCATAAACTTGGTGGCTGACAAAAAACAGAAATGCATTTTTTACAGTTCTGGAGGCAGGGAGGTCCAAGATCAAGATGCTGGAAGGTTTGGTGTCAGGTGAAGGACACTTCCTTCACAGATGGACACCATCCTATTGTAACTTCACATGGTGGAAGGGGCAATCACACTCCCTAGGGCCTCTTTCATAAAGTCCCTAATCTCACTCATAAAGGCATTAATCTCATGAGCTAATCACTCCCAAAGCTCCTATTTTTTAATTCCATCCCTTTGGAGGTTAAAATTTCAGCATACACATTTGGAGGAACAAAAGCATTCAGTCCACTGCAAGTACAAAATGAGTGTGGGACATTTGATAGTCAGTATCTAGGATGGTGCCTAATGCCCTTTCTAGTGTTCATGCCCTACCACATTAAGTAGGGCTGACCCACACGACCAGTAAAATATAGTGACACTGTGTGACAACAAAGGCTAGTTTATAAAAATCATTGCATATCCTGCTTTGTTTTTATAGAAACTCTGACTCCAACTGCAATGTTCTAAGGACATAAAGTAGCCCTATGGAAGCCACATGAGGGAAGGAAGAGAGGCATGACCTCACCACCACCAAGGATGAACTTCCAGCCATATGAATGAACCCCCCGAAAGCAGCCCCAGTCAAACCTGTCAACTACTGTTATTCCAGTTGACAGTTTTTATCGCAATCTCATGAGAGAAATCCCCATTTAAGCCTCCCCCAAATTTTTCACCCATAGAAACTATGATAACTAGTACATATTTATTATTATTTTAAGGCCATTAAGTTTTGCTGCAATTTAACTGGTAGTTACAGATAACTACAGCAATTATATAGGGTCAATTATATAATTGAGTTGACTAACAAGACTTCACAGAAAATACTAAAGTAATGCAATAACAAAAGCTAAAGATTTTTTATAGCATGGCAAACAAAACATCAATAATCATCAGATGGCCGGGCGCGGTGGCTCACGCCTGTAATCCTAGCTCTCTGGGAGGCCGAGGCGGGCGGATTGCTCAAGGTCAGGAATTCAAAACCAGTCTGAGCAAGAGCAAGACCCCGTCTCTACTATAAATAGAAAGAAATTAATTGGCCAACTGATATATATATATATGTAAAAAATTAGCCGGGCATGGTGGCACATGCCTGTAGTCCCAGCTACTTGGGAAGCTGAGGCAGTAGGATTGCTTGAGCCCAGGAGTTTGAGGTTGCTGTGAGCTAGGCTGACGCCGTGGCACCCACTCTAGCCTGGACAACAAAGTGAGACTGTGTCTCCGCAAAAAAAAAAAAAAAAAAAAAAAATCATCAGAGAGGGCTGAAACTGCCTGGTGCTACAGCCATGCTTTTTCTTGGTTACATAGGGCATGCTTTGTCTTGAGATCATAAACCACCTCAGACCAACTAAATTAGAAACACTGAAAGTAGAGCTCATCAATTTGTGTTTTACCAATTCTGTGTGTGTAATTCTGATGCATGCAAGAGTTTAAGAATTACTGCTCTTTTTGATCAGATCCCTCTTGGAATTATGGAATCACTGATATAATAACTGTAATAACCATAAATGGGGTTCATTTTACTTCATTAGGGTCAAAAATAAGAATCTAGGAGTTTCAGGTATAAGTTTCATTAGAAGGAACAAAATAGTAAGTAAGTTGCTTGGGGTCTTTTCAATTGCCATGACGTTTACGTGGGATACATTTTTAACTGACTGTGGTGATCAGACCATACAAATTGTCATAATAAGTTCCACTGAAGGTCAACACCCGGAGAATGCTTTGCAGTCATTGTGAAAGTCTCCCTTCTATTGTGACTTCCTTTTCTGCACAAGTGTGGACTGTCAGGTCATCACCATACTTCACTTCAATACAATAATTTCAAGATGGGGAACTGTGCCTAAACAAAGGAAATCTGAGGAAAGCAACCCATGGAGACTATGCCTTGTAAAATTACCTTAACCATTTCACAGATACACACAACTCAAAGCAAGGTGACCATGAATTATAAACCAGAGATTTAAAAACATAAATTATTAACCACATCAAAACTGCCACCCAAAGTAGGTAAGTCTGACTCTTTGGGAAATACATATTTGTCACTTAAAACCATAAAGTCTAAAAGGGAAACACTAAGTTTTTACTGACTTATGGCAACTTTCACCTGAAAGACAAAATATCATGAAGAAAAAGGAAAACTAAACTCTGACCTCCTGGTATGAACTGTAGAACTACTTCATGACATAGATAGATTATGAAATTGATATGGATTTACCTTGTTCACAGTTACAACCTGCTGCTCTCACCCAGGAAGGCTCTTTTCCACAGGCTTTCAGCACATCTATTTCCTTTGAGCATCTCTCACAGTGATGGTGAAAAATTATAACCTGTGTAGAGATTATATACTCCTAAAGAAAATATGCTTATTAATGGGCATAACTGTGCATACCTAGAAAGACTAATCATAAGTGAAATCAGCCTACTCCATAATCAATAAAAGTGATTATTCTAGGGAAGTGGGACTGCAATTGAGTGGACAGGTGTGCTGCTGTTGCCCTGTTTTTTGAGGTTGGATGCCTTCTCTCCCAACCTCATAGTAGAAACTCTATTCCATTTATCCAACCACCCATCCATCCATTCATCCATTCAATCATCCGTATACATATTCAGAATCATTCATTGAGTATTGCTATATGATATTTGATGTATTAGGAATTCATTAGTTATTTTAGACACTGACAATCCTCTGCAAATTTGTCCCACTAGAAGATATTTATTAAAGAGGCCCAAGGGAGCGTGATTGCCCCTTCCACCATGTGAAGTTACAAAAAATGGTGTACATCTGTGAAGGAAGTGTCCTTCACCTGACAACAAACCTTTCAGCATCTTGATCTTGGACCTCCCTGCCTCCAGAACTTCCCCAAGTGAAACATACAAGGAATGGAAAAACAAACACCACGTGTTCGCACCAATAAGTGAGAGAAGGGTGTATGTAGGCATAAAGGGACATAAATCACATTGGAAACCAAGAAAGTTGGGGGAGTGAGAGACAAAAACTTACTCATTGGGTCCAAAAAAACACTGTCCTTGGGGCAGGCACACTGAAAGCTCTGACCTCAGCATCACTCAGTGTAACCATGTAACAAAAACTTTTGTATCCCCTCCCAATATCTGAAATAAAAAATATTCAATTTAATTTAAAAAGAAAATAACTTAAAAAGCAGAACATGGTTCACTCTAACAAACATTTATTGAACACTATTACATATAATGTACTATAGATCAAAACATGAATGTCCTAAGTTTTTCCTCTGATAATCTTGGTGGAGAGTTGGGTATGTAAAAGGACTGGGGGGCATGGGGAGGAATGGCAGGGGCAATATATGTAACCCTAACAATATTTGTACCGCCATAATATGAAAAAATAAAAAATTAAAAAAAAAAGCCCAGTGTTGTACATGAGAAATAATATCTGCAGTGATGTTAAAGCTAATGGATTCTGGAGCCAGACTAACTGACTTTGAATTTCTAAGCTTTGCAAATGACTATTTGTATGATCTTTGGGGAGTGAATTAACCTTTCTATATTTCTATTTCATTACGTGCAAAGGGTTAAAAATATCAACTACTTCATGTGGTTATTGTCTGGATTGCATAATTAGTGCATATAATTTGCTTAACCCAGAGCTTTTTATAACTAGCATATAGCTTTCCGAGACTAGAGAATGGTACTGTCTTGTTTACTTCTAATGCCACCAATGTCTAGTCTTTTCCTGGCACATACTAGATGCTAAGGTACATATATTTAATAAGGCATTGAATATTTCCTGGTTGCTTGTCTTCTTTTATTTATTTATTTTTTAGAGACAAAGTGTTGCTTCAGACTGGAGTGCAGGGGCCCTATCATTACTCACCATAGTCTCTCGAAATCCTGGGCTCAGGTGATCCTCCAACTTCAGCCATCTGAGCAGCTGGGATTACAGCCCCACTCCATCAGACCTAGGTATTTTTTTTTTTATTTTTTATAAGGATGGGGTCTTGCTTATGTTGCCCAGGCTTGTCTTGAACTCCAAGCCTCAAGTGATCCTCCTTCTCTTGGCATCCCAAAGTGCCAAGATTACAGGTGTGAGCTGCTGCCTGGTCCCTGGCTTCACTTCTGATGATAGTTTTCTATTCCCTAATTTGGCTTAAATGAGCATCTCATTTAATTATTCCTCTTCCAACTAAAACATACTTCATTGTCTTAAAGATCCCAGTAATCAATACATATACATTTAACTTCCAAGCAAAAGCCTTATGTCTGCAAAGGATATATTAAGTTGGGATATACTTTATCAGTTTGTGTTCATTTTATTTAAGCAGAGTTTGCTGGCTATGTTTTTAAACAAGACCAGTTTTGAATATACACTGGCGATGAATTTATTTAACAACCAGTTAATATAATCATTTAAAATATTTGTTGATTCTGAGCATATTTTTAATCAGTTTGTGAGATAAAGCTCAATTTGAATCTTAATATTTTGAACCAAAATTGAACCAAAGCAATTGTGAATGTCTAGGATGTTTTAAATAAAATGATTAAAAGCATGTGGCCATCATATTACCTATTGCAGTCTTTCAATAAATTTACTATTATATAAATCTAAATTATCACAATTGCAATAAATTTAATGTGTATGTTGCCCCAAAATTCATTTTTCCAAATCAATGGTATTAGGAGTGGGGCCTTTGGATGGTGATAAGATCAAGATGACAGAGCTTTCATGATTGGCATTAGTGCCCTTATAAATGAAACCCCAAAAATCTAGCTATCCCCTGGCACATGTGAGGTCACAGTAAGAAGGCACCTTCCATGAACCAGAACATAGGCCTTCCCTGAAAAATAAATCACCTGATCTTAGACTTCACAGTCTCAGAGATTTGTAAAAATTAAATATCTGTTGTTTATAAGCAGCCTAGCTTCTGGTATTTCATTATAACCACATGAAAGAATTAAGACTACTAGACAAACACTGTATGTTCTCACTAATAAGTGGAAGCTACAAAATCAGTATACATGGTCATATAGTGATGTAAAGGACATTGGGAACTAAGAAGGGGCGAGGGTGGGAAAGGGGTAAGGGATAAAAACTAAAAACATACCTGTTGGATACAATGTACACTACTCTGGTGACAGGCACACTAAGAGCCCTGACTTGATGTTATATTAATACCCATGCAACAAAAACAGCCTTTCAGCCTCTTAATATTTTGGAATAAAAAAGATGACGAGATAAAATTCATGTGTGCCGTATCTGACTTACATTCTTTTGACATTAAAACAATTGTTTATTACAATAAAGCTCAAATGTGATTCTTCTGGATTGCAAGCCTAACAATAGTCTCAAAATGAGTTACAGACTTAAACATAAGACCTGAAACTATGAAAGTTCTGAAAGAAAACCTAGGGGAAAGTCTTCATAACATTGGACTTGGCAATGATTTCTTGGACATGCCACCAAAAGCACAGGCAACATAAACAATAAAAGATAAATACTACATCAAATCAAAAGGCTTCTGTGCAGCACAGGAAACAACCAACAGAGTGAAAAGGGACCCATGAACTGGGAGAAAATATCTGTATACCATATATTTGATAATGGGGGGATAATATTCTAAACATATGAGGAACTCTTATGATGTGACTGGACATTTTTCAAGAAAAGCCATGTAAATGACCAACAGGTATATGAAAAAATGTTCAACATCACTAATCATCAAGGAAATTGAAATCAAAACCAAAATGAGACATCAACTCACAACTGTTAGGATGGCCACTATAAAAAAAAAGAAAACAGAAAATAAGAAGTGTTGGTGAGGATCAGAGAAATTGAAACATTTTCCCACTCTTGGTAGAGATGTGATATGGTACATCTACCATAGAAAACAGTATGGTGCTTCCTCAAAAACTTAAAATTATAAACGATATCAATCCAGCAATTCACTGCCATGTATTTATCCAAAATTATTGAAATAAGAATTTTGCAGAGATATTTTCACTCCCATGTTCATGGCAGCATTGTTGACAATAGCCCAAAGATGGAAACTATCAGTGTCTAATCATGGGTGACTGGATAAAAAACAACACGGTGTGTATACACATCATGGAATATTATTCAGCCTTGAAAAAACAAATCCTGTCATATGCTACAACACAAATGAATCTTGAGAAAATTATTCTGACTGAAATAAGCCAGTCACAGAAGAATAACTGCATGATTCTGCTTATATGTGGTATCGAAAGCAGTGAAACTCTTAGAAGTAGGTGTAGAATGGGGTTGTAGGAGCACACAGTTAACAACCCTGCACTATAAACATAACAAATTATTGAGAAGTTATATATCATATTTGTTTATCACTGTAAGAAAAGAAAAAGAAAAAATGGAAATATGATTCTGGGGAATAAATTAATTATGTCTACCTCAATAAATGAAATAAGAAATATGTGGATATCAAAAAACCCTAAATAATATAAATTATACTCACAAACCAAAAGAATTAAGTTAGAAAGCAGGATCAGAAAAAATAAGAACAAATATATAAGGAACATGCTATGTTTTAGTATAACACTTTTGAAAACCAGAATATATTTTTCTTTTTTTAAAGATGATGTGACTTTGTTTATATAAAAAGTAGTACAGCAAAACTGAAATAACATAACTTTGGGAGTTAAAGTCCATCTGACTTGATTATAATTTATTATTCTACCCCATATTAACTGTATAATTCTCCCTAGTAACTTACTCTAGCTCTCAGTTTCAATCTTCTTAGCTGTAAAATTGGGGTAATAATACTCAGCTCATAGAACTGTTGTAAGAATTAAGTGAAAAAGCCATTAAATTATGTTAATCTCAAAGCAAATGTTTAATTCACACCTACTCTCATTCAAAGTCCAGTATTTTTAAAGAATGCCCTTCTCACTCTTAATTTCTTATAAAACTATTCCTTCAAGATCTAGTTCCAAATCATATGTTCTTTGTTACCTACTATTATAGATTATTTACCAAAATGGCCACAATTACTCTACTCCCTCATTCCATCCCCCTTTACCTCATTAGTTTTCAGCTTTTCTTCTCAAGTAGTGGTATCTATTTAAGCTACTCTTCTCAATTCTGTGATTTTCTCTGACGAAGAGAATGTGGTGGAAAGTTTGCGGTACCATCACCAAGCCTAAACTTTTATGCTTGTGTTCTTGGATTCCCCGCCACCATCGTGTGAACAAGATCTGTCTAGTCTGCTGGAAGATGAAAAAATATGAGAGCCACAGTTATCCCAGTTATACTAGTCAAGCCACAGACACATGAACCAGCTCAGGCAAGATGAGCAAAGCCAACCTACGTCTGACTGTAAACACATTAACAAGGTCTCCTAAATTAGCTGACTCCGATCTAACCCAACGGCTCTTAAACTAATCAGGGGTCCTCAAACTACAGCCCATGGGCCACATGCGGCCAGCCAAGGACATTTATCCGGCCCACCAGGTGTTTTTGCCACAGCTGCCTCTCCTATCTAGCACCCAACTGGTCCCGCCCCACAGTGCGCATGTGTGGAATGTGCACCACACTCTCCAACGGCCCTCCAACGGTCTGAGGGACAGTGAACTGGCTCCCTGTTTAAAAAGCTTGAGAACCCCTGATTAATGGCTGTTGTTTTAGATCACTGTGCCATGGTCAGATTGTTTCACAAAAGTAGTTGACTGATACTTCTGATCTAATTTGGGGCAGAATTTATTCTCCCTGCTGTCTCAGTGGCATATTGCAATCAACTGACAAGTTATCACGTTATTATTTGACTTGGTTGTGCCTTTCTTTCTCTGTTTGTCAAATATTCCATGGGAACAGGGGTCAGTTCTTGTCCATCTTTGTATCCTCAGAAGAAGGTTAAATGCCTGGTATATAATAGATAGTCATTAATTCTATTAAATTCTAAATTCAGCCAAAGTTATCAGATAAGATGTGCATGTAGGCACAATTTGAGATTGTTCTTGTTTCTTTTGCTCCTCAAAGCAATGCAATAATGACCTATTTTATCTTTTTCTAAAGCTGCAGTGGTTTGGGACATCCTGAGAGATTCAGTAACATTTGCTATTTAAACATTTTGTTTCAATAAATAGTGGTGCTTCTTAAGTGGGAATGCAGAACGAATGACTGGTGTCAGAGATGAACTTTCCATGGACGAATGGAAGTGGGCCATCAAAACATGCCATGAATTTTATGAACTATTGCCCACACAACTTTTAGTATGAGTGAAAACCCAGGAAATATACTGTAAAATAGAGCATGTCAAATAGACTATAACCATAGCTCTCAGCTGCTATCTCAACATCGAATTGAATAAATTGTTCTGTTTTTTTCTAGGTTATTATAAATAACTTTGGAAAAAAGCCCATAAGTGTTCCATTATTTTTTAATTTCTAGAAAAATAAATATTTTAATATACATATTTGTATTATTTGTTTTCTAACCATTGATCATAAAGCATTATTATTTAAGTTCATTTGGTACAAATTATGTTATGTTTTGGTATAATTATGTTATGTTATGTTTTAGAAAAATAGTACCTGGATGTACTCACACAGACATAATTATAAAATATCTATAACATATATATATATGCATAAAATGCAAGCTTTGTTGAAATTATGCCAACAATCCAGTGAGACATATGAAATAGAAATTAATAACCTCATTTTATACTGAAGGCAGCAGAATCATAAAGATTTAACTTTCTAAACTTCTTAAGGAGGCTATCTGTCAGAAATTCGAACTTGATTTTTTTATTTTAGAATCAATGTCTTTTTCATTATAGTACACAATGTATTTTAGCAGAAATACACTTTTGTCTTAGTTTTTATGAAAATGCATATAATATTTTCTTTGTATTATGTTATTTTATTATTTGTTTCCTTCCAAAATTGAACATCTACTTGGAC